CCCCAAAACCCCAAAACCCCAAAACCCCAAATATCAAAAATATTAAAAAATCAACATATATTATTATAGTAAATAAAGTTATTTATAGAAAATCAAATAAGCATCAAATTATTCCTAATTTATATTAAATCATAGCAAGAGCCAAGGATGCTAAACCTGAAAAAAGTGTGTATGAAATAGTTTTAGTCATTGGAATTCCTAAAAGTTTAACTGGACTATATTAATTTTCCTTTTCTAATCTCTCTTGTATAGATAGTAGTACTTAAACAGTTTATTTAAGTTCTTTCTTGCATTCCTCAACAGTTTTAATCTTAAGACAGCATGTGTAGTATTAATAAGCTAACTTGTATGTTTGATTCAAAAGTTTATTTCCTCTTCCTTGAGCCTCCATAATATGATTCCAATCTGCAAGTAGCCTATCCAAAATATTTCTTAACTCTGTTATTCTAAATATTTGTTTTTCAGTTTCTTCATTAATCTAGGCAGCAAGACAAAGCGAATACATTATTATATGGAGGAAATTCAAAATTTCTAAAATGAGAGGTATCCACTGGTATGTTGTGAAAATATGAATCTTAGCATCGAAAAATTCAGCAAGATAGAGAGCAGATAGCAAGACATAAATTAAGATGTACTAGGCTGCATATAATTAAATTCTAATGAAGTATCTTTTACCAAAATCAAGTGCTAAGATTCTCATATCAAGCCAGCATAACATCGACTATCGATCAAATATGTTAATTAAGGGCATAATCTTCTGGTATCCTTAAGCCTTATATCTATCTATTTCAATTAACTTAGTCATTAATTTTTGCAAATATCTTTTCCGTTTAAAATCTATAATTCCAATAATTTGAAATACAGTATTATTGTAATATACTGCTGCGTTAATATTGAAGCATGCTACAGTATAAAACCAAAACATTACACTAGAATATTATTAATTCCAATTGGGATCATCATCTTTGGTAGAATATTTATAGCCCAATGTTAGAATAAATGGGAGAAGTGCATGTATAATAGATACTATATAATAGAATTTGTGGTTAGCTTTCTGATTTTTATATTTAGTAGCTATTACTAAATCTTTAAAGAATAATCTAGATGAGTGCCTCTGGAGCATTTCTTCATCTTTTGGATCTTATTCAATATCCTCAATTATAATAGAATCTTAAGCGTTTGCAATGCTTTCAAATTTCCTCAAACACTTAGAATTTGTAGTTTAATTACGTATACTTATATTCTTTGATGACTTCTTTAATTTGAGTGAAACAAGTAGTGATTAATCAGTCAGCTGCTTCTTAAATTCTTCTTTTGTGTATTTATTGTTTTCGAAAAAGTGATAGTCATTGATTCTTTCTTTTAGTTTGATTGGTAATTTACTTAGAAACATATTATGGAAAGTCAGGTTCTCAATTTCATTTCTAATCATTGAATGTTTAATTTCTTTGTCGATATTGCTAATATCAAGATCCAACCAAGATGTTAAATATTCTTGGTTAAGTTCTTTCTCTGGATATACTCTGGATCTGAGATCATTCAATTTACTTTCAGAGGTAGTGCCATATCTTAGAGCAATGATTATTGTCATCATAGTGAGAGCTAATACACCCATTAATAGATCAATACTGTTTTCTAGGATAATCTCTGGATAAAATACTAAAGTGAAGAATATTATGCATATACTAATGCAAATCTTAATTTGCTTCTTGAAATTAAGAGATCTACCCCAGAATCCCATATTTCTAACAAGCTATGAGCTTTCATACTTAAATAATATAGAGGTAGTGAAAGGAGGTCCTAAAACTAAGAAATACATCACATGATAGAATAAAGCTCATACAAATTGCTATACATTGAAATAGACTTAGCCCTCATCCATATTAATTTCTTCTTAATTAAATGGATCTTGCATCAAAAGCTTAAACTTTTCAGCAATTTTTTATTTCAAATCCATTTCAGAAATTATACTCCCATTAATTGCAGATTCTTCATTAGATTCCTTTAGCAAACGATTATCTCTTGTAGAGAAATCAAATCTAACCGTGTCTTATTGAATTTCTTCAAGATTCTAACTAAAAATTCTTGATTATTGTGAAATATGAAGGTTTTTTAAAATGCCTGTAGATGTTCTTTCTAGAGAGTTGGAATCGTAATTTTAACAATCTTATGAATCTTTGATAATGTCATCCATTTCCTTTTCCATTTCGTATTCATTCTGAAATTTAGATGACTAATCTAATTACTCCTATTTCATCTCTTATTAAAAACTCGAATTACGTAATTTATATTATTTAATTTATCTGTTTTGCCATTGACAAATCTTTTAATAAATAAAACATTAAGGGGTTTTGGGGTTTTGGGGTTTTGGGG